GCACTTACCTTTAACACTTGCTTCTCTCTCTCTAGGAGGGGCTATCTGTAGGCAGCCTTTGTGATTGAGGATAGAGCAGCAGCAGGAAGCAAGAAATATTAGGAATCAAGAATCCTGAATTCCAAATAAGGAAGGTTTCCTGTTCTTACATTTAAATATGGGTTTGTCTGAGCTGGGAATTTACAACGCTTCAGAATACTAGGGTATGTTTTACTAAAATCATTAGGAAGATTTTTTTTTTTCCTATCAAAATTGCCTCCACTGATAAAAACCTTAGTACAGAGCTTCAACAATAAAATTATGCTCTTGTTTTTCAATACACATTACATTGTAAAGCAGTGATCAAATTCTATTAATTTTGTAGCTCTATCAAGTTGAATGGTGATATTGAACTATGTTGATTATGAAACAAAGTAAGATACTTTACAGATTATTGAAATGAACGTCATATTGGCTTAAATAGGTGATTGAGTATTTTTGATGTATATAAGAAATCAAAATGGTGAATAATCATGGGGTATTTATTTTGTTGTATATAAGGAAAACAAAATTTGGGATAATTTTCTTCAAAACTGAAGTCACATTTTTAAGCACAATAAGCGTATTAGTTCAGAATTTTCTACATTAGTTTTACTTGTGCATTTTTTAAAACCATACAACTTAAAAACTAGATCATCTATATTAGTAACAAATTATGAAGACTAAGATTAAAATATCTGACATTTTCTGAATGGCTGTCTGTTGGATATAAGGGTGAAGTACCCTTGGGAATGGCTTAAAATTAGGCCAGTGCAAACTGTTTTTTAAACTCTATTTGCAAAACTTGCCTAGTAAAGGTATTTGATCATTGTGTTATCTGTAATTTTATGCATTAGTACCTGCTAATGATGGTGTCTTTGAACTTTGCCCTGTGTACTTTTCTTACAGTATACATTAACAAAAAAATTAATGATCCACTTGATTTTTTAAAAATCTGGTATTTTTTATTTTTCTTTAGTCAATCTTTTTTTTTTTTTTAAAGATTTTATTTATTTTTATATATTTGACAGACAGAGATCACAAGTAGGCAGAGAGGCAGAGAGAGAGAGGAGGAAGCAGGCTTCCTGCTGAGCAGGGATCCTGATGTGGGGCTCGATCCCAAGACCCTGGGATCATGACCTGAGCTGAAGGCAGAGGCTTTAACCCACTGAGCCACCCAGGTGCCCAGGCGCTCCTTCTTTAGTCAGTCTTAATTTATTGAAGTATGCTCTGACAACTTAACTCAGGATAACCAAATTTCTCTTCTGTTTACCCTTTGAAATGTTTTGTTAAACTGTTCTAAGGTCAGAACTGGATATCATCATTTCTAACTAGCCATGGCAAAGATACTATAGGTAGCTTGTTTTCTGACCTTTGCTTCCATAACTGGGGAAGATAACTTGGTTTTCAGCATTTTTTCTGATGGCTGAGCCTGAGCTAAAGAAAACCTATTAACTTATTTTCTAGTACTACTAGATTTAGAAAATGTAAGCATATACAAATTTTGATAATATATAACAATGGTTTTCTGACTTTTTGCTGTTTTCTTTTTGTTTTTGTAATAGCAGTGAAACCTTTTCTTCAAATGAAACCTTAAACAAATCTGTGGCAATTAAGCTTAAGGAGAACAGAACAAAACCAAAATCTTACTCAGAACCCTGTTATTTGAAACATCAAAATGGAATATCTCAGTTAAAACTGTCAGTTTTAAAGGCAGGAGTGCCATATAGCTGGTGTCAAATGAGGAAATTTGATAAGAAAATAGTTACGTAATTTCAAAGTTTTTGAAAGATTTGTTGCACCTAATTTAGAGTAAGTTTCTTGAACACAGTGGCTTTCTTTATTTGTTAGATCTTAGTGTTTTGAAATAGTTATAATAAAATGAAATATTTTAATTTCCATAAAAATCATTGAGAATGGTCTCTCACATGTATGTATAAATCATATTGTGGGTTGTCTTTTTGTTAATGAACTAAGCTTTTTCTGTTTGTGCAGTGAAGTTAGTTGATATTTAGAAGACTTTACACAATGCTTAGTATATGCCATACACTCTTCTAAGATTAATTCCATTAATTCCCGTAAGAACCTTAGAAGTTCTATTATCCACATAGTCACAAATGAGGTAACTGAGATGCACGAAGTCTGTAACTTGCTCATGGTTACATATCAGGGCAAGATATGAAAGTAGATAGTAAATTCAGAGCTTCCATACATCTTTGTTAATGGTTTTTTAAAGAACGTGGATGGAAACAGTTTTCATCTATCATTGTTTGATCTTTTTTTTTTTAATGTTTATCTAAATTTACCTTTAAAATAGAAGTAAGAATATTCTGAAACTTATTTATAAGAACTTGAAAGTTTTTATTTATTATTAATTCTTTTTTTTTTTAAACCAGAGAGAGAGACAGAGAGAGGGAGGGGCAGAAGAGGGAAAGAGAAAATCTGAAGTAGGCTCTACACCCAGTATGGAGCCTGACACGGGGCTTGACCCTACTACAACCCTGAGATCGTGACCTGATTTGGGCGCTTAACCGACTGAGCCATCCAGGCACCTTGAAAATTTTTACTTTTAAATACTATTTTGAGTTATAAATATATTAATACAACCTTAGTTGTATTAAATTGTTTTAAATTTAGTTGTATTAAATTAATCTCCTTAAATTCTAGTTTAAGGAATTTCATATAGTAAATGTTAATATGGTAAGCAACAATCACATAGTTGAGTTCCTTGAACTCAACTAGAATTGATATTTGCAGTGCATTATTAAAAAAGATATGGACAGCTTTGTCACTATTTGTTGCAAAGCTTCTTAAGGGGTCAAGTTTTCTGTAAGGAAAGTAATAGCATTCTAAATCCCTACTACTTGGAAGTAAGCTGAGCTGGCTTCTACCAGTCTGAACTGATTTAATGCAGTAAGGTCACATTTCCTAATTCAGATGTGGTAAAGCATTTTATCAAGGCCGACTTAAGAGGAAGAGAAAAACTACTTTTTACAGTAAGTAGAAAGTAACTCAACTTGTATTTTGGCTACTCTCAAAGTGATTCACAGGCTTTGTGAAAATGTATTCTATGATCAAAGTCTACACATAGTCTATCGACCTGTGCTTATATAAGTGTATCTTGGTATGTTCCATAGTCCAGAAAGGCAAAAATGACAACATTTTTTTTTTTAAGATTTTATTTATTATTTATTTGACAGACAGAGATCACAAGTAGGCAGAGAGGCAGGCAGAAAGAGGGGACGGGAAGCAGGCTTGCTGCCGAGCAGAGAGCCAGATGTGGGGCTCGATCCCAGGACCCTGAGACCACGACCTGAGCTGAAGGCAGAGGCTTTAACCCACTGAGCCACCCAGGCGCCCCAACAACATTTCTCACTAGAGAATATAAGATAATTTATCAAAATTCCACTACTATCCTGTGGTCTTTTAGGCTGTTGCTATTACATTTTTAAAATCCTGTTTTACTTTTATAACCATAAGCATTAGTAATATCACCTTTTGTTATTTTTATATGGTATAGAATCTTCCCTTCATCATACTACCAATGGGCAAAATACTGTATCTTTAATAATTTAAATAATATAAACCTATTTCTATGCAAATATTTAAATACTGTAATCACAGAAACTCCTATAGTTGATGCACATTTATTTTGAAAGTATAGGAAATAATTTTATCAGAGTTCATTTAGAATCACTGTGATCAAAAGACTATTTTCCTTAATCTATAAGGAGTGCCTACAATTCAATTTTAAAAAGACTAGAAACTTAATAAAAAAGTTAGGCAAAGGGCAATGAATAAACAATTTAAAGAAAAGGAACTTTGTAAAGCACTTAAAAATACAAAAATATGCCCAATCTTACTATAAAAGGAAATGTAAACTAAAACTCTTTTTTTTTTTTTTTTTAAAGATTTTGTTTATTTATTTGACAGAGATCACAAGTAGGCAGAGAAGCAGGCGGGGTGGTGGGGGGTGAAGAAGCAGGCTCCCCGCTGAGCAGAGAGCCCGATGCGGAACTTGATCCAGGACCCTGGGATCATGACCTGAGCCGAAGGCAGCGGCTTAACCCACTGAGCCACCCAGGCGCCCCATAAATCAAAACTTTTAAGCATACCATACTTATTAACTATTATTATTAATTAATAATTAATAATAGAGTTATTAATAGAGAATGGGACCACTCAGAAATAGTAATATAGTAATATATTAGTAATAATTATATTATTATATATTATATATTATAATAATTATATTACTAATATATTACTACTAATAATAATAGTAATACAAACCAGTTTAAGATACATAATTAAGAGAAAAAATTTAGTTCAGCATATGTTTAGTTATACTATATATTAAAAAGATACACCATATATATATGTATGTGTGGAATATCCCCTAAAGGATATATAGGAAACTACTTCTGGAGACATTATTGCTGGTGTAACTGTTCATTCAAAACTATCGATTTGGAGAGAAATATTAAGTCATAGAATATTAAGATCTGTATAGGACCTGTCCAAGTCATTCCTTTCTACAGCTGATTTAGAGTTGCCCAAGTGCTTTAGGTCACGAGCTATTGATTTCCATGTAGTTCTCCTTTCAGTATACCAGTAGTTCTCAGCTGGGCAAGCAGATCTTAATGGAATTATCTTGATATCTTGATAATAGAGATTTTATCTCTTGCAGATTGGTGTAGTACACTTATCTAGCCAGCATGTAGTAGGTGCTCAGTAAATGTTTGAATGAATTGAACAAATTTAGGATATTTATTACTTTTTTATTTATTATCTATTTTATTTATTAGACTTTGACATGGTACAGGTAGAAAGTATTTTATCTTTATCTTTGAAAGAAGAGAAATTATTTCTCTGTTTCCTTTTCTAGTGGAAAACTTATTATAAATGCATTTGTTATGGTTTAATTTTGATCTGTTCTAAAGAAACATTTGTAAAGTTACAATTTGCTAATCATTTTTCAGATACTGGCTTCATGTCCTGTAGACCGAAAACCATTTCAGGCAGTGTTTAAATTGAGTGCATTGGAAGGTTGTGTTAAGGTAAGGTTTATGTTTTACTTTGCAGTATGAAATGTATAAACTTAGGTGAGATGATTTTCCCTTAATAGATTTCCAGTTTGAGTATATTTATGAATTGTTCAACTTTAGGTTTAATATGTGATTATTATTTCTATTCGGCATGGCAAGCCTAGACTTTTCTACAAGGCTACAAAAATTATGAACCCTTTTTATTCTTTGCCCTCTCAAAGAAGACATATCCATGGTAGTCACCTTACGATTTTCCACAAAATATGACTTCTGATGCTCTAAAGGAAGTTTCACATTTAGTCTTAAATTGTAGGAGGTTTAAATTTTTAGAATGTTTTTAGTGTGAGGATGTTTATATATCAGAAACATTTACTAATTAATTGGATAGTGCTTTGAATGTATTTTTCCATTGAAAAGGGGTTTGAAATGGAATATGAGATTCAAAGACTGACCCCACAAAAACTTAAGTTTGAAAGACCTGAAAATTGTTTTTCATGAAAAGCATTATTATGTTTGGAAGATTAAGCCAATAAAACTAAATATAAAATGGTATCTTTGTTTTTAAATGCTGGTGCTTGAAAGAAAGTGAGCAATTGGAGAATACGGGGTTTTGTAGAGATCTTTAGAGAGACTGCTCACAGTTTCAGGGTTAGTATAGGCAGATGACTTTCACTCTTTAAGTACAATTTTATTGTAATACTTAATCCTAATCACTTTCATGAGATGCACATTTAAATACATACCTCATTGATGTTATTTATGGTTATGAACCATGATTATGGTTTGTATTTAGATTAATATTTGGCTTACAAATAAAAGAAGAAAAAAGAAATAGGAACATATTCCTGAGTTAATGAATAAAAGGTGAAATGACAAAAGGAGAGTAAGTAGTTGTATAAGATATATGAGAAGATTTCTTGAGATAACATTTACAAGTCATGAATGATGCATTGCGGTACTTGGCTGGCTCAGTTGGTAGAACATGCAGCTCTTGATCTTAGGGTAATGAGTTCAAGCCCCTGTTTGCAGGTAGAGTTTACCAAAAAAAAAAAAAAAAAAAAGGAATTTTCAATATATACATACCTGATGCCACTGATGAGGGGTAGAGAGGAAGACTGTTCCCAAGTAGCATGATAAGCCCATAACAACTTGGTTGCTGTCTTTATGAGTAGAAAGGGGTATGGAAGTGACATACAACTATTTAAGCATAAGGTATTCTCAATGGAGGTATTTATAATTTGTTTTGATATATTTTTACCAGATGAGTCTCAGTGACATAAGGAACAAATGAGACTATAATTCAAATAACGTGACATACGTAAAAAATGATTTTGCTTGTTGTAATTGTGTTAATTGTGCATCTATATAAATTAGTATGTCTTGGAGAAAGATACTATATAAATGTTATGATCAAAATTAAAGCATGGCTTCTCTGAAAGATAGATTCTCTATTTTTCCAGACTATATATATAATGTTGCTGAAGATGTATTGGCATGAACTAGCTTCCAAAGATATTTTCCTCTAAAACTTTGTTTTGTTGCTTTATGTGAAATACTGTTTTTGTTGCTTAGATTAACAATTTATGTTTTCTTTAATATGGTTTGTATTTTACTTAAATTAAAAGTCTGCAGGGGCGCCTGGGTGGTGCAGTTGGTTGAGTGCCCCACTCTGTTTCCGCTTGGTTGTGATCTTGGGGGTGTGAGATTGGGCCCCAGGTTAGTTACCACACTGAGTGCAATCTGTTTGGGACTTTCTCTCTCAAATAAAATTTTTTTTAAAAAGTTTGGAGGAGTGTTAACCTAATTTAGTCAAACTTAACAAGTATTTCTTATTATGTGATATTAACTATATGTTTTTAATATTTTCCTTTGACCTTTACTTCTGAATCTTCACTTTATTTATCCCTTTCCAACTAAATGAGTGAGACATCTGTACTTGCTTAGTCCCTTTTTATACTTGCTTTTCAATTCATATTGAACATTTACCTCTGTAAAAGTGTCCTCGCTGAGGTTTGGGATAATTTTTTGTTTTCTGCATGTGGTACTTTTGACTGCCCTTTATTTTCTTTGGCTTATAGGGTATCTTTTTATGAATTTTGTATGTATGTTTTACTTTTCTGACCTTTCTCAATCTTTACATCTCTGCCTTCCTTACCTTTTTAAAAATCATTTCTTAAATTTTAAATTCCTTTCAGTGTCCTGGGGATACTTTCTCTCTAAATCTTCTCAAGTACTCCAGTAGTTATAAGCTCTTACATGTATTTGTATGGCTTCTAAAACTATCACTAGCCCAGATCTCTTTCCTCAGAACTAGATTAAAGTTTTCATCTGCTTGTTGGATATCTCTGTGTAGAATACTGAGGAATGTAAACATTAACAGATCCAGAACTCATCTGGGAGTTTTCCATTTTTTCTTTGTCCCTCATCTTTGCCTAGTCCTTCTGAGCAATGTCTTAAATTTGTTTTCTCTTCATTCCTTTTTTGTCACTTCTTTGTAGACCTTCATGCTGTCATTTAGACTGGTTCTGCCAATAGAAATATAGTACAAGCCACTATAAAATTTTTACTTTCAGTAGTCACATTGAAAGAGTAAAAAGAAACCGTTAAAATAAATTTTTATAGTATATTTAATCCAACATAACTAATGTATTATGTCAACATACAGTATTTTTAAAGAATTATTGAGAGGTTTTACCTTGTTGTTCTATATCTTTGAAATACAGTGTATATTTTGCACTTAGAGTACATCTCAATTCAGACAAGCCACGTTTCAGTGCTCAATAACCACATATGGCTAGTGTCTTATCTCTCACAGTGTATAGATCTGCTACACAATTCTAAGAGCTTTCTTCTGGTTTCCCAGACTTTATAGTCTCTCCTTAACTGGTTTGTTCTCTACATTGCTTTAATACCTCCATTTATTCACTGTTTCCCCTGGAATTATTTTCTTATTTGAACCCCTTTACAATCTGTTCCTAATATGTTACATCAGCTTCATATCCTGCTAATATTTTCTTCCCGATCTGCATTGGCTTCTCATTGTTCCTTGTAACTATGTTCTTTCTTCTATTCAGAATACTTTTTTCTTAGACAAATTCCTACTCTTTAAGACCGACTCATTAAAGTCTTCTCTGTTATCCTCAAATAGTGAATTTCTCAGTCCTACATATATACAGAGATCTGTGCTCAAGAGCACTTTCTGTTTACATGCCTCTCACTATTTTTTTTCCCTGGAGCTTAGCACACTTACCAGTCTTATAGCTTAGGATACTTGAATGAATAAGCATGTGTTTGGGCTACTCTTTCATTCAGAAAATTTTTGCTTCTTTAATTTTTTTACGCTTTCAGAGGAGAATTGATAGGCTATCATTTGTGATGCTGGATTATCACTTTAAGGATTTTGCTTTTCTTCTAGGTTCAAGTAAAAAGACATTTGAGAGAAACAAAAGACAAGAAAACTGAAAGCTCTTTTAAGAAGCAGCTCTCCTGTTGTGAAAATTCTAAAAGCTGTATGAGGTTAGTGATGAACTTCATAAGTGGAGTCCAAACGTTTAAAACCAGAAGGTAGCTAATAATAAAAAATAAAGAGTTGTCTTTTTTTTTTTTTGAACAATGTGGCGTTTAAATGTATTTAATTATTTCTTTTAAAGCACACTCCTGATATTAAGAAATGACCCGCTGAAATCTGAGAATTGAACTTGAACTATCTTTTTGATGAATTTTTTTGTTTTGTTTTTTTCTGTAATCTGTTTAGATGAATATTTTTATAAAATAAAAATGTTATAGCAGTGCAAATTAAAGCTTATTCATTTCTGTTTATGACAAACCAATAATGATTAAGTACTGGTACACTGACCACATTTTGGTTAGCACCACTCTAGTATTTATGGACAAAAAGTAGAAAATAACTAATGATGTAGCACAACATTCTTTATGAGACAGTTATAATTGAAACTGCTTATTTTTATCTTTATAGTTTTCTTTTTTGTATTGTAGCAGGCACTTGGTACCTACCATAACAACCATTTATGTTTTAACATGTTTGGATTTCTTTCTTTAATTACTGTTGTTAAAATGTAATTGCCTGGAAATACAGTGCTTAGTACTTGAGTTTATTAGGTATTTAACATATTTTTTGAACTAAATTGAGTAGATAGTGTACTGGAAATTAATTCATTATTAATACTTAAATTGTTCCAATACATTTAGAAGTTAAGCCCATTTTGATCTGACATATATTCAGAGCTTTCTAAAAATTGTATTCTTAAGACAGTATATATTGTCAAATTCATAATTAAACCTATGATTCATTAGTATATTTAATCAGAATACTAATTTCTTTTTTTTTTCTTTCAGAGATTCATTCACTTATTTTAGTAGGGGTGTGTGGTAGAGGGGGAGAGAGTCTAAGCAGATTCTGTGCTGAGCATGCAGCCTCGCTTAGCTCGATCTCCCAACCCTGAGATCATGACCCAAGCTGAAACCAAGAGTTTGGACACGTAACAGACTGTACCACCCAGGCACCCCCTAAATACTGATTTCTTAACAGAGTAGATTTATTTAGTTACTAAAACAGTTGACAATAGTTGTTAAGATTTATGCAATCATGCCACAGTTTATAACACTGAGGCTCTTTAGATCTTTTTGGAAGTTATGGACTTATTTTAGAATCTGTAGAAGACAACAGACAGCTTCTACCAGAAAAACAGGTCATAAGACATACTTACACACAAGACTTTGTATGTGATTTTAAGGGATTCGTGGAACAGCCATAAACCCAAGTTAGTAAATGCATTAGAGCAAATTTTATTAACATTTTCTTTTAACTCGGAGTCAGTTTTGATTCTTGCATTTATGTTTACATAGAAGATGGTAGCACACTTTTCCTAGGACACTGGAACTTCTGCTAGCTTCATTCTTGATACAGCTCCTGTTACTCGCTATGACTGTGTCAAGAATATACATTTTTATGCTTCCTCTGAATTACCACAGTTCTTTGGCCCTTACCGAGAGTGCAGTGGTCATCACTGTATGTCCTATATAACAGGGTCATACACTGGGTCTAACACAGCTGAGGTAGTCCATATGCTTAACTGCTTTTTCTCAGGGATTTGTGGTAGCGGGATGGTACAGAGAAATAACAAATGCAAAATAATAATTTGCTTTTGCCTACCAAGTCAGCTCCTCCATAATTTCTCCCAAGGCGGAAAACCTGTCAGCTATTGAATATTTATAGTATATTCTTTTTTGGAGTCTTTGGATGTTTTAGCATTCCTTTCATTCAATCTTATATTCACTGTAGTCTCTGTAGCACCTCGACATCCATTCAGTGCTGCCTCTCCCTTCTAAAGCAGTGCAATACCCCTGATGCCCCTTCCTTTCTGTTACTTTCTACCAGTTCCAGGGAAGGGGATTGTGGTTTTTTTGTTTGGTTTGGTTTGTTTTTTTTGTTTGTTTGTTTGTTTTTTCTTGGTAGTGAACCTCCCTTATAAGTCATTGGAGTGGAGAGTGGCATCTGAATGGGGAGTAGCAACTGGTCATTCTTTCTTTGCTAGAATTTAAAACTCAGTGCATAATCCATTTCATTTTGCTTGTCAGTGAACTGAAAAATGAGCAGAACAACAAAGTTCTCTTAGTTATTTCACCTCTCTATTAATGTTTACAGAAAAAAAGTCATAAAAGAAGATCTGTTAAATGCAAAACTTAAGGACTTGAAGACGACACATAGTAAGTGACTTGTTTAACTTGGTTTTCTACCTTTTTTTGTTTCTTCAATGGTTGCATTAAAGTTCTTATTAGATACATTTTGGTTCAAAAAATAGTCACACAGAGAACTCTACTGAGCTCTGTACGTTGTGTTCAGTCCTATATCAACTATTGCCATGTAATCATTTATGCTTTCCCTTCCCCCCTTTTATGCTCAGCTTGGAAGGAGGGAAGAGATTGAGTGCCAGTGCATGTGTGTGCACACTGTGTGTGTGTGTGTGTGTGAGAGAGAGAGAGAGAGAGAGAGAAAAGGAAAAGGAGAAAAGAGTGTTTTCTAATTATTTGGTGGGTAGCAGCCTGCAGGTGGTGTTACTCCATTCATTAGTGCAGAATTCCTTAGGGGAGATAAGGTAAAATACCTTGTGGGCCAGAAACTGTAAGCAGTAGCCTTAATAGTTACTGAGAGAGGTCTATGGCAATAGGAAGTTAATTCACAGTTCCCAGAAGAAGTGGTTTGGCCTCTAATCACACTTCTAACTTGAAACTGTTTGGAAATGGAGCACCTCTTAGATATTTATCTGATGAGCAGTTAAATAGTCCTGTCTTTTGTTCTTTTCTAGTGCATGGTTCTCTAAGTTAGGAAAGCTTTGCAGCAGGGTGTGAGAAAAATGGCACCACAGTTCTTTGTGACTCCTCTTCAGGGCTCAGGCTATTGATTCTGTTCCAAAGAACAACTTACTATAGGTTGTTTATAAACAGCGGGGTGAACATTTATTTTCCAGATTAGGTTCCGATGAAGTTCTGTTTATAGATATAAAGAATTAATTAATTCACTGTTCTTAAAAGTAAATGATAAGCAGCTTCATTTTTTTGTAGATTATGAGGTTTGGATGTTGTTACTTTTGCTGATTAGAATTAACATGATCTCTCAGGTTCATGGATCCCCAGATTTACTGCCTTTGAATTCACTATTTACAGGAAATTGCAATATAAGGACTTCTGTGGTCATATAGCATTTTTCTTTTGTTAAAAACTTTAGATATCGGGGCGCCTGGGTGGCTCAGTGGGTTAAAGCCTCTGCCTTCCGCTCAGGTCATGATCCCAGAGTCCTGGGATCGGGCTCTCTGCTCAGCAGGGAGCCTGCTTCCTCCTCTCTCTCTCTGCCTGCCTCTCTGCCTACTTGTGATCTGTCAAATAAATAAATAAAATCTTTAAAAAAAAAAAAACTTTAGATATCAAAACTTTTTCTGTCATTGCTATAGATTAGCATCGTTTTTTATGGATAGCCTTTGCTCAGTATAATTCTAGGATCTGATACAAAATTTATGGCTGAGGAAGATTAAATGGTGTTTTAGATTTTCTTTAAATAATTTGGCATGCTTTCACTGTATTAATCTTAATTTTAAGACTACTGTAATTTCCTTTGGTGTTTATCTTCTGCCTGGCCTTATTTTTAGAGAGAGAAAACTATTCCTGCCAGAAGGTTAACACTGTCCAAGCCCTGTTAACATAGTGCTATGTCTACTTGTTAAGATGCCTGAATTATTTGTTTGGTTTAGGATAGTAAAAAATACTCATTATGCTTTATGAGTGGATACTACAGAAGTACTAACTAATACCTAGGTAATTATGAGCAAATGTGTTTACAAGTCTGGATTCATTTGAGGATACCTGGTGATTTTCCTTTCAGTTTTTTTCTGTGATGTTGCTTTTTACTTGGGGAATTTAATATATCCAACATGGCCACTTTTACTTCCTGCATTGAAATAGATTATGTACCTGATAACATAGTTTGTATTTAAGTATTGTATTTAATGAAAATTACTCAGGTTTAAGTTCTAAATCCATACACAGTATGTACTTAGTGTGAGATGTTTGTACTAGTAGTGCCAGAGAATTGAGATCAACTCATCTCATTCAACAAACCATGCTAAGCACAGTTGTAGACTCTTAGGAGTATAGCAGTATACGAAAGAGACAAAGTGCTTGCTAACGGAGTATCTTCTGTGGACAATGAAAAGATAAATGTGTGTAATATGACAGGTAGTGATAAATGCTTTAAAGAAGAATAGAACAGGGTAAAGTGATAAAGGATGATGACATTGTAGAGGTGATATCTCATGTAAGTAGTCAGGGAAAGCCTCTTGGTGAGTTTATATTTGAGTAGCAACCTAAAAGAATTAAGGGATGAAGTCATAAAGAATATCTCAGGGAAGAGCGTTCTAAGTGAGATAACAGCAAGTGCAAAAGCCATGAGACAAGAGCAACCTTGATATGTTCAAGGAATATTACGGAGGTCAATATGACAAGAATGATTGAGTTAGATAGGTAGAGGAGGAAGAATAAGACATTGGTGGGCAGGGCCGTTAGGGCCTGTGTGAGATGGGAAGCACTTTCTGGGGTAACATCTGACATATTATTAAAGGACAGCTCTGCCTATTAAGGGGGAACAGGTCATAGGAGGACTGAGAGACTAATAAGGTGGTCATTTTCTAGGCCAAAGATCATGGTAGATTGGGCGGAGAAGGTATTAGTGGAAGTAGTGAGAAGTGGTTCAATTCTGAATATATTGTATTTCAAAGGGGAAATTAACAGGATTTGCTGATGGATTGGATGTTGGGTATAAGGTTGATTTTAAAGTCTTGGCCTGGGGCGCCTGGGTGGCTCAGTGGGTTAAAGCCTCTGCCTTCAGCTCAGGTCATGATCCCAAGGTCCTGGGATCGAGCCCCGCATCGGGCTCTCTGCTCAGCAGGGAGCCTGCTTCCTCCTCTCTCTCTGCCTGCCTCTCTGCCTACTTGTGATCTCTGTCTGTCAAATAAATAAATAAAATCTTTAAAAAAAAAAATAAATAAAGTCTTGGCCTGATTGTTAAAATGGAGTTGCTGATTACTAAAATGGTGAAGGCTGGTACAGTGTTTAGGAGGGTATAATCAGGAATTCTCTGTTGAACATGTAAGATGCCTACTCTACAACCAAGTAGAGGTTCTATGAAGAAATACGGGTGTTTGCATGTCATATGCAAATAAACTATTTATCTTCGGGCTGTCTTACAGATGGTCCCCAATTTATGATGGTTAGACTTACGATTTCTGACTTAGTGGTGTGAAAGTGACACACATTCAGTAGAAAGTGTTCTTTGAATTTTGATCTTTTCCAAGTCTAGCGATACATAGCACACTACTCTCTTGTGATATTAGGCAGCTCCTGGTCAGCCATGCAATCACAAGGGTAACAAAACTAATATACTTAAAACTACTCTCTACCCATACAACCATTCTGTTTTTCACTTTCAGTACAGTACTCAGTAAATTACATGAGATATCCAACACTTTATTATAAAATAGGTTTGGTGTTACATGATTTTACCCAATTATAGGCTAAGGGAAATGTTCTGAGTGTGTTAAAGGTAGGCCTAAGCTAAGCTGTAAGGTTCAGTAGGTCCTAAATGTATTAAATGCGTTTTAAAGTATTTTCAACTTACAGTGTGTTTATTGGTATATAACCCCATTGTAAGTTAAGGAAGGTGTGTAATTCGAAAAAGCTTGATTCTATATGTAAGGAGGTTTTACAAATACCTCAGCTATTTATTATACCTGTATATTTTTTGTTTATGATTTTATTTAAAAAAAAAAATGCCTAGACCTATATTCATTTCCTAGGGCTGCTGTAACAAACTAACCACAAACTTGGTGGTTTAAACCAACAGGTTGTTTTCTCACCATTCTGGTGGTTAGAATTCTGAAGTCAAAACATTGGCAGACCCATAATCCTTTTCGGGGTTCTAGGGAAAAATCCTTCTTTGTCTCTTCCTAACTTCTGGTGGCTCCTGGCAATCCTTGGCACTCTTGGGCTTGTAGCTGCATCACTGGAATCTCTGTCTCTGTCTTCACATGTCCTTCCTCTTTGTCTCCCTGTATATCATTTTCTGTCTCTGATAAGGACACTGTCATTGAATTTAGTTAATGTCCACCCTAATCTAGTATTAGATCAATCTTACCTGAATTGCATCTGCCAAGATCCTCTTTATTTCTTTCTCTCTTTCTTTTTTTTTTTTTTTTTTAAGATTTTATTTATTTATCTGAGAGTAAGAGAGAGTGCAAGTGTGGAGGAGGGTCAGAGGGAGAGGGAGAAGTAGACTCCCTGCTGAGCAGGGAGCCCGCTATGCCATTGAGCGGAGCTCGAACCCAGGATCCTGAGATCATGACCTAAGCTGAAGGCAGAGGCTTAACTGATCCACCCAGGTGCCCCAAGATCATATTTCTGAATGTCATAATATTCTGAGGTTCCAGGTGGACATGAATTTTGGGGGAATTCTTTACAAAGTCACTGAAGTGTAAAACACGGAAGAGTTGTTACAGTATTTATAAAATAAAATTTCTAAGTGATAACAGTGTACCCCAACCCTGGTGCCTAGGTTGTGTTCTCCTAGTACCATTTCCCAATGAAAGTACCAGGGCATCTTGAAATAAATAACTGACTGATTCCAGATTTGAGGTAGTAAATAAGATGTGTCTAGAACATTTTTCTAAAAGCAAGAAGTTTTTAAACACTATTTGCATCATAACAAAAAGTCTTTAGGAATCAATTTGCTTGGGTTCCCTCTTGCCAAAAATGGGACAATTTGAGCATCAAGAAGAGTAATAAAACTACAGTTATTGAGACCTGTCAGATAAGTTGAAATCCAAGAGTTCATCATGCTACCTTATAAGTAAACACACTAATTGATCTGTTTAGGAGGATGCTAGGAGGTTAACTTATTTTGAAAACTGGTACATGAAGAAAAATATCAAAGCATCTCTCATGCCTTTCCTCGCAGTAAATGGATAGATGAGGATAATTGAACAGTAATAAAGGAAAGTTAATTTTTTAAAGAAATATTTCAGCAAATAATTTTAGATGGAATTACAGATTGTGAATATCAGCATTTTGTAAACTAATGAATTAATGGCTCCTGGGCAGTGATCAGCAGTGGTTGTTAGCATCACAAAAGGAGGGAGCAGCAAACATTAAACACCTCCTTA